CGTATTCTTTCTGATATCTGATTAGAATCGCCCCAATCTCTTCTACACGAAAATTAAATTACCAATAGTTATATTCCTCTATCGGATGCCAAATTTTAAGTAATTACCTTAGAAAATATCTGGAAGTACCATTGTATGGAACTATAGAAAAACGTGGACCTATAGAAACAATACTCTAATACAGGAGGTAGAACACGTTATGAACTCTAAATACAGATTTTAAAACTATTCCGTCAGAAAATGTATCTAAAATCGACGAAATAGCGAATATCAATTATTTGGGGGCTGTACAAAAACTTGCATATTTTCAACTATTGCGTTAGCAAATTTAGGCAAAATTATCAAAATGCCGAAATGCTTTGCAAATCTTTACCAATATAGCTCATCTTCGAACTTTACTTTCCTGCAGACAAAAGACAACTCTATGCGAAATCTTAGCTTTCTATCACAGACGGACGGACATGGTTAAATCGACTTACGGAGCTTTAACATACACTGGCTCAATAGCATGTGGCATCGTCTTGTTGAAATCACATGTCATACAAGTCAAGCTCTGGCATTTTGGGCAAAAAAAGTTGGATATCATACCACGGTAGCGCTCACCATTCAGAATTACGTTACCAGCCCATAAACCGCACCAAACTGTGATTTTTTTCTGGATGTATTGGAAGCTGTTGCAATGCTTCAGACTGATCTTAACTTGAAAATCGATCATTCTGCTTATTTTAGTACCCTTTAAACCAAAACTGGGATTCATCGTTAAGCACTACTTTTCGATAAAAAAGTGGATCTTCGACCAACTTTCCCAGATTACATTCACCAACAAATCTGCGTTCCTGAGAAATTGCGCATCAGTTTTACTTTGAAAGGCTTCACAGCCAAATCATTCCGCAATCATTAAGAATGGTCGATACAGTTACGGTATTTTCTTCAGCTCACACACTATGTAAGCGTTATGGTGGTTTAATGATCAACAATGTAAATTTGTTGCGAAATTTAGTCATAATAGTCCGAATTTCCACTTCATAGGGGTGATTAAACAGGCCATAAAGTGGAAGAAGCGCGCCATGTACTTTCTCAACAGAGGATGCATTTTGATTACATAATTCTATAAATTGCAAGCATTGTTGTATGTGAACTAAAATTCTTTGGAATAAATTTTAGAGTCCATACTTATCATTTCCAATTTTTTTGTATATACTTTTTGTTTTTAAAATATAGTTTCCTATTTTTTTTTTAGAGTTAATTATATAGAGTTACTAGCTGAACCCGGTGCGCTTCGCTACCCATTTTGATTTTATATACATTCAAAATTTTATTTACGAATATATGTTGGATAAAGAAAAACAAATTTAAAAATTAATAAAAAAAAAAAAAAAAAATATTGCACTAATTTAATGCGTTAATAAACAAAATCATTACAAAAGCAGTAACATGACATGCATACACGAAGGGTTTGTCCTTTGGATTTATTTATTTCATAGCAAATACCAAGCGTGCAGGAAATTGCAATTTTTTTAAGTTGAGTGGCTTTTCTATTGCAATTAGTGAATTCGAGGTAGCAACATACTTCCCCGTAATAAGCGTATTTCAAATTAATTGTTGTGTTGTTTTTAGTGTTAGCCTAAGGCGTTGTGGGTCAATGGTTCTTATTAAAATCATACCCCAATTTACTTTTACACCAAATTCCGCCACAACTTTCATATTTCATTGAAATTGGTGCGTCAAATATCCAAATCTTAACTAATTTCCAATTAATTTATCACATTTATTATTAATTTATCACATTTATTATTATAACCAAATTCCACACATTCTGAATATCATTGGAATCGGTCATATATATCGTGTTTGGTGCATAATATGTATGAAATCGGCCGAAATATATATGTTAGCTATATTCAAACCTCAACTGATTTCAATATAATTTGGCAATTTTTGCTGGTGCCAGATTTTGTCTCTCTCGCTTTGGGTGCATCAATTATATGAAATCGGCTGAGTATATATTTGGGAGCTATAATCACATCTGAGCGTATTCGAATATAATTTGTCAAATGCAAACGTCAAATGTACCAAATTTAGCCACTCATGCCGAATTTCGTTGGAATCGGAAATACGTATCGTGTTTTGTGCATCAAATATGTGAAATCGGCGAAAAATATATATGGGAGCTATATCCAAATCTGAACCGATTTTAATATAATTTGACTAATTTATTTTCTAATCAAAATCCCGTTACATATTCCAAATTTCTTTGGAATCGAACATACATATCGTGTATGGTGCATAAAATACATGAAATCGGTCGAAAATATATATGAGAGCTATATCCAAATCTGAACCGATTTTAATATAATTTGACAAATGTATATTTGTTTTAATTTCCGCTACACATTCCATAATTTCATTGAAATTAGAGATACATAGCGTGTTTGGTGCATCAAATACATGAAATCGGTCGAAAATATATATGGGAGCTATATCCAAATCTGAACCGATTTCAATATAATTTGACAAATTTATTTTCGGAATTAATCTCGTCACACATTCCAAATTTCATTGGAATCGAACATTCATATTGTGTTTGAGGCATCAAATGAACGAAATCGGTCGAAAATATATATGGGAGCTATATCCAAATCTGAACCGATTACAATATAATTTGGCAAACTTATTTTTGTTCCAAATTACGTTATGTATTCCAAATTTGGAGACTGTATCTTCAACCAATCAATATATATTTGCATATAAAATCTAAATTTTTGGGAGGTACCTTCGATTCTGATGCTATATCTCCAGTTCCAAGTGGAAATTCAAAAATGTATATAGCCTATGTTACTTTCAGGCGATGTTGCAGTATATATGGAAATTTTCAGGAAAATCTATTCAGCGGTTTTCGAGTCCATAAATTACAAACAAACAAACAAACAAACAAACAAACATACAAACATTTTCCTCTTTTATAGATATAGAGATAAAGAAAAACAAATTTAAAAATTAAAAAAAAAATATTGCACTAATTTAATGCGTTAATAAACAAAATCATTATAAAAGCAGTAACATGACATGCATACACGAAGGGTTTGTCCTTTGGATTTATTTATTTCATAGCAAATACCAAGCGTGCAGGAAACTGCAATTTTTTTAAGTAGAGTGGCATTTCTATTGCAGTTAGTGAATTCGAGATAGCAACATACTTCGCCGTAATAAGCGTATTTTAAATAAATTGTTGTGTTGTTTTTTAGTGTTAGCCTAAGGCGTTGTGGGTCAATGGTTCTTATTAAAATCATATCCCAATCTGATCCGATTTAAATATAATTTTAAAAAAATTACTTTTACACCAAACTCCGCCACACCTTTCATATTTAATTGAAATTGGTGCGTCAAATATGTGAAATCGGCCGAGAATATATATATGGGAGCTATATCCAAATCTTAACTAATTTCCAATTAATTTGTCACATTTATTATTGTAACCAAATTCCGCCAAACATTCTGAATTTCATTGGAATCGGTCATATATATCGTATTTTTTCGGCCGAATTATATATGTTAGCTATATCCAAACCTCAACTGATTTCAATATAATTTGGCAATTTTTGCTGGTGCCAGATTTTGTCTCTCTCGCTTTGGGTGCATCAAATATGTGAAATCTGCTGAGTATATATATGGGAGCTATAATCACATCTGAGCGTATTTGAATATAATTTGTCAAATTTATTTTTGTACCAAATTTAGCCACTCATGCCGAATTTCGTTGGAATCGGAAATACGTATCGTGTTTTGTGCATCAAATATGTGAAATCGGGGGAAAATATATATTGGAGCTATATGCAAATCTGAACCGATTTTAATATAATTTGACTAATTTATTTTCTAATCAAAATCCCGTTACATATTCCAAATTTCTTTGGAATCGAACATACATATCGTGTATGGTGCATAAAATACATGAAATCGGTCGAAAATATATATGAGAGCTATATCCAAATCTGAACCGATTTTAATATAATTTGACAAATGTATATTTGTTTTAATTTCCGCTACACATTCCAAATTTCATTGAAATTAGAGATACATAGCGTGTTTGGTGCATCAAATACACGAAATCGGTCGAAAATATATATGGGAGCTATATCCAAATCTGAACCGATTTCAATTTAATTTGACAAATTCATTTTGGCTCCCAATTCCGTTACTTATTTTAAATTTCATTACAATTGGAAATACATGTCGTGTTTGGTCCACCAAATACATGAAATCGGCCGAAAATGTATATGGTAGCTATATCCAAATCTGAACCGATTTCAATATAATTTGGGAAATCAATTTTTTAGATAAAATCTATCACACGTTTCAAATTTCATTGAAATTGGGGATACATAGCGTGTTTGGTGCATCAAATGCTTGAAATCGGCCGAAAATATATATGGGAGCTATATCCAAATCTGAACCGATTACAATATAATTTGGCAAACTTATTTTTGTTCCAAATTCCGTTACGTATTCCAAATTTGGAGACTGTATCTTCAACCAATCAATAGATATGTGCATATAAAATCTAAATTTTTGGGAGGTACCTCCGATTCTGATGCTATATCTCCAGTTCCAAGTGGAAATTCAAAAATGTATATAGCCTATGTTACTTTCAGGCGATGTTGCAGTAAATATGGAAATTTTCAGGAAAATCTATTCAGCGGTTTTCGAGTCCATAAATTACAAACAAACAAACAAACAAACAAACAAACATACAAACATTTTCCTCTTTTATAGATATAGATTTTAATATTAATGTTCAAAAATAGATTGATTAAAACAAATATTAAGTGTTTAGTACTTATTAATGAAAATCAAATCTGACCAGAATAGAGTCTTTAAACGTCAAAAAAAAAAAAAAATATAAGAAAATTAAAACAATCTATGAATCAATTGTTTCCAATTATAATATGCATTTATCACAATCGACGTCAGAGAAAAATGCGATAGCTGCAAAAATGTTTTGGTTATCTGAAGCCTGATTATCACTCCTTGATAGAACTCCACATCCCAAGTATAAAAAGGAAGAAATGCACAGGTGTTCGATATTATTTCGTCTAACCATGAGATATTTCGTTGTATTCGCATTTTGTGTAGCTGCTGGTAAGAAATTCGTGGATACCTTTTGAAAAGATGTGGATTTAAAAAACCAATTATCCTTTACAATAGCTTGTGCCTTCGTTATTCCGGAGGAGGAACGCGTCAATGGTGAAAACGGTTGGTACGTTCCCCAAGAAGACGGATCCCTGGAATGGGTTAATCGCGATGATGCTGAAGCCTATTTGGATCAAGCCCAACAATTCGAGGGTCGTTTAACCACCAATCCTGTTAATTTCTATTTGTACACCAAGTCCAATCCCAATAACGGACATGAAATCTCGGCTACAAGCTCATCGATAAATGGATCTCCTTTCAATGCCCGCAACCCCACCAGAATCACCATCCACGGTTGGACTTCCAGCAAAGATGATTACGTGAACTATGGTATTCGTGATGCCTACTTGGCAAAGGGTGACTACAACATGATTACCGTTGACTGGGGTCGTGCCCGTTCTGTTGATTATGCCTCATCGGTCTTGGCTGTTCCTGGTGTTGGTCAAAAAGTTGCCGCCTTGGTCGATTTCTTGGTTAAGAACCACGGCTTGAAATTGGCTGATTTGGAAATTATTGGTCACAGCTTGGGTGCCCATGTTGCTGGTTTTACCGGCAAGAACATTGCCAGTGGTCAAGCTCATGCCATTATCGGTTTGGACCCTGCCCTTCCTTTGTACAGCTACGACAAACCAACTCAACGTTTATCTAGCACCGATGCCTACTATGTTGAATCTATCCAGACCAACGGTGGTACTTTGGGTTTCTTGAAGCCCATCGGTAAAGGTGCTTTCTATCCCAACGGTGGCAAGACTCAACCCGGTTGCGGCGTTGATCTTACCGGTAGCTGTTCCCATAGCCGCGCTGTTACCTACTACGTCGAAGCCGTTTCCATTAATGATTTCGGCACCATTAAGTGTCCAAACTATGAAGATGCTGTTGCCAAGAGCTGTGGTTCCACTTACAGTTCCGTTCGTATGGGTGCTACCTCTAATGCCTATATGGTCGCTGGTGATTTCTATGTTCCAGTCAATAGCAAGTATCCTTATGGTGTATTGGGTTGATTTGGTTATGTTGACATGCTAAGTTTTGAAAATAAAGTATGATTGATTAGAGCATCTATTGGTTTATTTCTTTCACACCTACAAACTGGATAATAGGGATGATACATCTGAATGATGGGACATCAATTCCTCACAGCAAATGCTACGTTAATATGTAGCGGGATTAAAAAGGAGTTATTTATCGGTTATAATCGGTTAACTAGTTTTGTAGAACAGCAATATCTGAAAAACTATTTTTAAAATTTTTCAGGAAAAATAACAGTTATTTGTACACTCTACTTCGTCCTGCAGAACTTGTTGGCCATGCTATATACATGTCGCACATAGAGATTGTATTAAAACAAATATAAAGAATGTAATTATAACACTCAAACGGAATGTCTATCCAAAAGCCAATAGCAATTTCACCAGTAATGTGAAGGATGTATTTTCTGTTGTGTTTGAAGGCGAAATAAGTGAATGATAAGTATATGGTCTGGCAGTATTTTATTTACATGCTTATTTGTTTTCCACGACACATTTACAAATTGACATTTCAGTTCAATAACCTTAGATCTTTAGTGTAAATAGTTAATTATGAGCATTAGCATTTGTTACGACTTCGGAAAATAACCAATGTCTTATGTACGCACATATATATTCACAAAAATATAGGAAGCACCAACGCCCCGAGGAGATAATCACAAACAAACGTATAGTAATTGCGAAAATTAATTGGTTTCTCGTTTCACTATTATAGAACACAAAATTCTACTCCAGTAACGAAACTTTCTCTGATTGAATATTGTTCAAATAGAACACTTTTACTGTAAGTTGTAAGCTGTAAGTTTTGAAACCCTTCAACAATGGAAAGAATTTGGTCATTTCCAAAAAATCCGTTAAAAACTATGTTAAGATATTAAAAATGCCGAATGTAGCCATTATTTTAGGGTCTATACGACAAGGTGAACCCTCATGCGCAACTTTTGTCATAAGCCATAGGGGAGTCTTAGGCAGCAGTATCCATTACGAACTTCAAATGCCAAATATGAAACAATTTCCGTGAAAAATGTCGTTAATATCATCAAAATACCCAAAATCGGAAGGTAGCGTTATATGGGCTATATTGGTATGTCCAAGAACCCGCAAGAATCCACTAGTTTTTAAATATTTTTCGATATCATTAAGGCAAATTTAATATCGAGGTAAAAACTTTTACATTCTTGCAGTTCTGGGACAGGTCATATATTAGTGGGGGAGTTCCTGTTATATGAAACTTACACCAACAGTAAGGAAAAGTCAAAAGTCGGGCAGTGCCGACTATATGATACCCTACACCACTATTCATATTTAGTAGAGCTCCCGTAACAAAAGATTTTTTTTTCAAGTAGATCAACATTCGGCTTTAGAATAGTTATAGTTTGCTACAGAGTACATGATATTACTTAGAGAAGGATTATATTAAAAAAATATATGTCGGCTTGCACAACATGGAGACTTACGTCTCGAAATTCACTCCATTTGGGCTGATATTAGCCATTATTTCCACAATTAACCAGAATTCGGTTCAAGAGATATGAGAGCTATATCTAAATGTGATCCAATTTGATTGATCCAATTTTAATAAAGTTCGTTCTTGGGCCAAAAAAACATTTTTTGCAAAATTTCATCTCAATCGAATAATAAATGCGACCTGCATTTTTTCACATAGCCGAATACATAGCCGGACGGACACTCATAAATCGACTAAGCAAGTAATTCTATGAAGATCATCAAAAGTAACTATGGGTCTATGTCGCTTCCTTCTCCATGTTACAAACAAATGCACAAAGATATAACTTTACCACTATGTGGTGAAGGGTATAAAAACATTTAATTTTCATTTCATTCTTGAAATAATAGTATATTGTCCTGCAAAAGAACCCACGAAGATATGTACATGTTCAGAGCATTGGCCATATATTTATGACCTATGTCGTGTTAATGGGTATTCATAAAAAGTAACTTTACATATGACCCTAACATGATGTGTATATTAATTAGCCTTAAGAAAAGGATATAGTCTAACTGGCCCGACCATGTGACACCCTCCTCGGAAAAGCTCTTTAGGTCCAAACTTATATTGGGCGATTTTTAAACAGTGCCATCTGCAACCTTTGTTTTTCGACCTGTGGCATTAACTTAAATTTACGCCCGCTGTCGTGCTAATAATTATTCAAAAAAATTCACACAAAAGTGGTGGTTCATTTTACCTCCTAAATATTATCAAAAATACTAAGCTTCTGCCCTGTCCTAAACTCTAAAATTACGCGAAACTCCTTATCGAGTGGTCTTTAACTGTGGCCTGTAGAAATATTGCGACATCAAGAAAATGTTCAGTTTTTGGTCAATTCCAACCCCTAAACACTTATTCATTTGAATGCATATAAAATCAAAGGGGTAGCGAAGCGCACCGGGTTCAGCTAGTAAAATATATACCAAAAAAATAAAAAATATCACAAAATGTTTTACAAAACCATAGTATTTTGTTGGTGCAAAATGGTAAGGCTTAATCCCGATTAAACGATGGTAATGTTTACCAGGGGTAAGGCAGGGAATACCTTGGTTTCGGAAAGAGCCACCAATCCTCATCAGTTCCCTTGTTTTTTGTCTGGGATATTCTCCCTAGGAGTTATTTTAAAAATAACTCCTATGACAAAAAACTTTTTTACCAAAGTGACGATATCGTAAGCTCAATAGAAGAGGAACCAAAGAATTATATAAAACTAAAAATTCTTTTGGATAATCTTCTAAATCTTACAACCGCACTTAAAAACATTTTCATCTTTCTCCACTTGTTATGATTTCTTTTGACATGAACGAAGTAGCATGACCATGTAAGTTGGTTTTATCTGTTACAACTAAAACCCCTTCGTCAATCGTGCCTTGTCTATTAATAGAACAGTGTTGGCTTGTTTGTTTGTTCGGGATGCCGTGGTATTTTGATGTGGCAAAATGGTCAGGCTTAATCTCATTAGATCGATACAGCTCGAGTAGATAGAATGATCCATATATAACATCATGGGTCTGGATATTAAATTTTACCAATTTTTTATAATATTGTTTTGAAGCTGTATTGACGATTAATTTAGTTTTGGTATGTTGGGAAATGATTTTCTATACGAACAACGTTTTTTCCTAATGTCTGTTGTAATACATATCTGTTGTAATACATGTATCCACTTTATATAAAAATGTCTTATATAAAATAAATATACTTAACCGCTGTTATTCTTGCTTATGTGTAAAAACATCTAAATATAAAAAGCTATGACAAAAAACTTTTTTACCAAAGTGACGATATCGTAAGCTCAATAGAAGAGGAACCAAAGAATTATATAAAACTAAAAATTCTTTTGGATAATCTTCTAAATCTTACAACCGCACTTAAAAACATTTTCATCTTTCTCCACTTGTTATGATTTCTTTTGACATGAACGAAGTAGCATGACCATGTAAGTTGGTTTTATCTGTTACAACTAAAACCCCTTCGTCAATCGTGCCTTGTCTATTAATAGAACAGTGTTGGCTTGTTTGTTTGTTCGGGATGCCGTGGTATTTTGATGTTGCAAAATGGTCAGGCTTAATCTCATTAGATCGATACAGCTCGAGTAGATAGAATGATCCATATATAACATCATGGGTCTGGATATTAAATTTTACCAATTTTTTATAATATTGTTTTGAAGCTGTATTGACGATTAATTTAGTTTTGGTATGTTGGGAAATGATTTTCTATACGAACAACGTTTTTTCCTAATGTCTGTTGTAATACATATCTGTTGTAATACATGTATCCACTTTATATAAAAATGTCTTATATAAAATAAATATACTTAACCGCTGTTATTCTTGCTTATGTGTAAAAACATCTAAATATAAATAATTATCTCATTTGAGCTTTTACTTCAAATTAATGTCGTGTGTGAAAATTGTGGAAGAAATTTATAAAGTACTTAAAATCGATAATGTTAAATGTTTTGTTTTTAAAAGCAGATTTTTTATCGATTGGTATCTGCACCGCACTTGTTATTAATAACTGATTAGTACTTATATACAACCAAAATAAAAAATTGTCCGAAACATGCAGATAAAGCTAATGATAATTCACATATGTGAAAAAAACCAAAAACAAATATAGCCAACTTGAAGATAGTCTCTTGTATATAAGGGAGTACTTTACAATTGGTTAATATTATTTCGTTTTACAATGAAATATTTTGTGCTATTGGGATTTTGCTTAGCTGCTGGTAAGAAATTGCTTTTTGGTTTCCTTTGGAAGATTTTATAATTTCATTTTAATTATTTACTTTACTTTAGCTTGTGCCTCTGTCATTCCGGAGGAGGAACGTGTCAACGGTGAAAACGGTTGGTACGTTCCCCAGACCGATGGATCCTTTGAATGGGTCGATCTTGAGGAAGCCGAATCTTACTTAAATCAAGCCGAACAATTGGAAGGACGTTTGTCCTCAAATCCCGTTACCTTCTACTTGTATACCAAGTCAAATCCTGATAAAGGCCATGAAATCAAGGCTACCACCAAGTCAATTAAAGCCTCTCCCTTCAATGCCAAGCACCCCACCAGAATCACAATTCACGGTTGGACCTCGAATAGCAATGATTACGTTAACTCCGGTGTTCGCAAAGCCTATTTGAAAAAGGGTGATTACAACATTATAGCTATTGACTGGGCCCGAGCTCGTTCGGTTGATTATGCTACTTCCGTTTTGGCTGTCCCCGGTGTGGGTAAAAAAATTGCCGCCTTGGTCGATTTCTTAGTTAAAGAATACGACATGAAATTGGATGATTTGGAAATCATTGGTCACAGCTTAGGTGCCCATGTTGCTGGTTTCACCGGTAAGAACATTGCCAGCGGTAAGGCTCATGCCATTATCGGTTTGGACCCTGCCCTTCCCTTGTACAGTTACGACAAGCCCAGCAAACGTCTATCCAGCACGGATGCCCACTATGTTGAGTCTATTCAAACCAACGGTGGCAAATTGGGTTTCTTGAAACCCATCGGTAAGGGTGCTTTCTATCCCAACGGTGGCAAGAAACAACCAGGCTGTGGTGCTGATCTTACAGGCAGCTGCTCTCATGGTCGCTCTGTCAGCTACTATGTTGAAGCCATCGAGAAGGACAATTTTGCTACCATCAAATGTGAAAACTATGAAGATGCTGTTGCTAAGAAGTGCGGTTCCACATACAGCGGCGTACGCATGGGTGCCATCCACAACGCCTACATGGTTGCCGGTGATTTCTACGTGCCCGTTCACAGCGAATATCCCTATGGTGTTTTGGCTTAAAAAAATTGGTTAGAAAAGGAAATGTCGAATAAAAAAATTGATCAAAATAATATTCATAAGGTTTTAAAATTATAGACGTGACTATTTTTAATCAATTGTTTTATTTAGCTTTCCAAACAAATGAAGATGCGCATAAAAATCATTTTTGGGTATATAGTTTTAGGATGGCAGAATATATTTCGTAGCCATATGAAATATGTCCATAATGTTTTATTATTGTTCATATATAATTTTAGAGTTCATTTACATTTTGAACATTGGCTAATGGATATGTTTGGGTCAACATGTTATACAGGTAGCTGCTTTAATATCCTAATGAGAATTTGATTAACAGAAGGGCTTTTGCCCAAGCTCTAATATTACGAGGGATATAAATATGCAAATAAGCATTTATATGGTTATTACACGGACGACGAACGAATATGACGGTGACCCTTTTCTTCATTTTTTTTAATATAAATATTATTATCCCAGTGTAGCTGTGGCCACAGATAAGCTTAAAAAATATGCTAAGTAAATTTCAGAGATGTTATCATATGATTTTTTAGGCCAGTTTATACATCATGTTAGAGACAGATAAGTAAGAATAATAACTTATCATTCCATTTTAACTCCTCGAAATACTCATGATAGACACTAAAAGTATATATAATCTGGATCAGCGTGAAATTCTTGGTCGATTTAGCGATATCAATCTGTCTGTCGTAATCACGTTGTCTTTCGAACGAATTAAGAAGGCTAAAATTTTGCACACAAGTATATAGGTCATGTCGGTTTACGTATAGCCATATAACAGTACCTCCAAATATTCGGTATTTTGATGATTTTAGTGACATTTTTTACCGGAATTACTTCAAAATTCGTATTTGAAAATCTTAATTGGTCTTCGTATAGCCCCTATTTAACGGTCATCAATTTAGCTGTATATTTCGACGAATTTTTGTATATAATCAAGTTCTTTCCAAATGTGGAGGTTGTTAAAAGTTCGGCCCGGCTTAACATAGCTGCTTTCTTACTTGTTTTCATTTTATAAGCAAAATTTTAAAGCATACTTTTACGCGCATGCTATAGCCGTTATAGTAGGGTCTATACGACGTGTTTGTTATAAGTTTGTTATAAGTTGTTTGTTATAAGTCTTTACCATATTATTAACTGTGAATAATGAAGCATCATTAAAATACCGTATATAGAGAGGTACCGTTATAACGAAGCTATACGAAGACCTGGATCTAAATAGACGATTTTCTGTCACAGTCTGTAGCATCCATTACCAACCTCAAATGCGACATCTCAAAAAATATCGGTGATTATTGTACCTAAAATCGTCAAAATACCGAATATAGGAGGTACTGATATATGGGGCCTATACAAAGACCTGGACCTGCATAGAAAATTTTGTGTCACAGACTGTAGTTCCAATTACGAACTCTAAATACGTAATTTGAAACTACTCCGGTGAATAATGATGCTAAAATCATAAAAATACCAAATATTGGGAGGTACCATTATGGGGGGGCTATACGAAAACGTAGACCTGCACAGACAATTTTCTGTCCTAGGCTGAAAAATCCATTTCGAACTTCAAATACCAAATTTGAAACAATTCCGGTGAATAATAATAAATTCATCAATATACCGAATATCGGGAGGTACCGTTATATGGGGGCTGTGCGAAGACCTGGACCGACATGGCTCTTTTACGAACTTAACATGCCTACTGGTACATTATGCATGTATGCAAAATTCTAGCCTTCAATCTCAATCGGACATCGCTAAATTGACTTAGAATTTTACGCTGATCCATAGAATGGGGGAGGCTATAAAAATGTACAATTCAATCAAGTCAAATTGAAAAATCTCATGCGATAAAAAATATGATAAAAAGTTTAAACAAAATATTACAGAAAAATATTCACATCTTTATTAAGAGATTTTAATGCGTTTTTTTTAGAATTATTGATTGTTTTGGTTCATTTTAAACCCTTCTAACTAACATCGCCTTCATTGATATATGACATTGTATATATTTTGCTATAAATGCGATGACTTGGATATCAGCATCAATGGAACGATCAAATGTAACATTTTCGAATATTTGTGATTTCGCTGGAATTAAAAATAATCGCGGTTTAATGAAATTTTTTTATATAAAAATTATGGCCTATTTCAATCACTAGCTATTATTATTAATTATTATTAGATGACCATTCTTCTGCCCAGCCCTAAACTCTAGCCCCATGAAAAATTCCGAGTCGATTGTCCAAAATTGTGACATCTGGAGCAACTACTAAATCAATATAGTTTCCTATGTTTGGGCCAAACCAAACTTAAAATAACCCCAGGGTATAATTATTATTATAGCTCCAACATTAATTCTCACTAATTCCCATTATAAACGTAAACTGTTATGAGTACAACTCCTAATTACGTTCTAAGTTTGAATCATATAGAGGACCAATATTTAGACCATGTCGCACATTGGTCTAAATAACAAATTTTTTTTTTTTTTTTTTTTTGAGCGATGTACCCAGAAATATATTTTGAAACTATTTCTTAGGGATAAAATCACTGGTTCGAAGCCACGAAACCACGAAGGCCACTCGTCCGACAGCTGTTAAAATTTTTCCAGCGATAGCTCATTATATTGTTTACAAGCGTACAAAAGCATTTTGGTGCGAAGTTTTCAGAAAAAAAAATTATTCGTGATGGAATTCAAGCTTGATAGTATGATTTATTTATATTTGACTGGAAAACCACAAGTGGCTTTCGTTAGAGCACGCCAGTATTTAAATGTGAATAAATCTTTTGTGTCTCGTACCATCGCTCGTTACCGTGATACTGGTAGCGTAGCTCGACGTCAAGGAAGTGGACGGAAGAAAACAGCAACATCAGCAGAAATCACCCACTCATCACGCGCCACCCAAGAATGATTATAAAATGGGCTTCCTCGCTTCATTTCCAGCTCATAATAGCCATCAAAATCTCCGGATACCAATCCGTTGGACTACTGAGGCTGGAGTATTTTGGAAAGAAAGGTTGGCACTTGGTCACCTCAAGCAAGCGCTTAGTCGGGAATGGGCCAAAATACCGCAGAGCAACATTTGGGCATCGTGTGACGGTTTTATTGGCCATTTAAAGGCCATAATTTGTGCCAAAGGTGACCAATTCAAACAAATCTAAACTTATTCTAATAATTGATTTTGATTTAATGATTGATTGATTTCCCACATTTTTTTGCTTTCATTCAATAAAATTAAAAAAATAAAAAACAAAAGAAACATGGGTAGCAAAATGTCATTCTTTTTATACCCTCCACCATACTATGGAGGGTATTTTAACATTGTCATTCCGTTTGTAACTCCTCAAAATACTCATGTCAGACCCAACAAAGTACATATATTTTTGATCAGTGTAAAATTCTTAGTCGATTTAGCGATGTCCGTCACGATTTAGCGATGTCCCTCTGTCTGTCCGTCTGTTGTAATCACGCTATCTTTCGAACGAATTGAGATTGAAGGCTAAAATTTTGCACACACTTTTACTTTGCAGTAGGCAGGTTAAGTTCGTAAATGAGCCATGTAGGTCCACGTTTTCATATAGCCACCATATAACGGTACCTCCCGATATTCGCTATGTTGATGATTTTAGCGACATTTTCACCGGAATTGTTTCATTTGGTATTTGAAGTTCCAAATAGGTACTACAGCCTAGGAGAGAAAATTGTTTCTGCAGGTCCACGTCTTCGTATAGTCCCCATATAACGGTACCTCCCTAAATTCGGTATTTTGATGATTTTAGCGACATTGTTCACCGGATTGTTTCAAATTGGGTAATTGAAGTTCGCAATGAATACTGAAGCCTAAGATGGAAAATTGTCCATGCCATTCCACGTCTTAGTATAGCCCCCACATAACGGTCCCCACATAAGGGTACCTTCCGATATTCGGTATTTTGAAGATTTTATCGTCATTTTATCGGAGTAGTTTCAAATTACGTATTTAGAGTTCGTATAGGAACTTTAGTCTGTGACAGAAAATTGCCTATGCAGGACCAGGTCTTCGTATAAGCCCTATATATCAGTACGTCCTTATATTCGGTATTTTGACGATTTTAGGTACAATACTCACCGGCCCGGCCGAACTTACTGCTTTTTAAATTGTTATTGTTATGCAAGCCACACACGATACAACTGGTTGTACAACTTGAAGAGTACTAAAATTATGTGTTTCGGTCACAAACGATACAACTTACTGTACAACTTCACTTTCCGTAGAGTTTAGTTGAGTTAGGATGACACCGGAAAAATCATTCTCTATAATTGACTCAATAGCTTTTATTTATTATTAATTTTGGAAATTTAATTTTATAAATTGAAATTCCTTTTTATATATACATTAAAATCACACATATGATTCGTATAGTTTGGATGTGGGAAACAATGGTGTTGCCTCTTCAAAAATAAACACAAAATGAACTTGTATGCCACATGCCCACAAACGTTACATTCGGTTGGTACAACATACCAAATATCAAAAAATTTTGATTTTTTGTGCAACCCAGACACAACTTCGTACAACCGGACCACAAATGATACAATCTTGAATACAACCTCTCCAAGTTGTACAACCAGTTGTATCGTGTGTGGCTTGCATTAGGAATAGGCCGGTATTGTCAGTACGGTATTTCCATGTGGTGGCCCATATTGTCCATCTAGCGATTTTATCTTATTTTGAAGAAAACACAACGATTTGTGGGTTTATGTGCGAACAGACAACGCTAAGTCGCCTCCAAATGTCCTAAAACCTACTTCGGTAATAGAGTCTAGGGGCGATAAGATTTATAGGCACGTTTTTTTATTAGAAGTATCTGTAACCATTAGGCTGACAGTATAGTCTAGCTGTACATTAAGGAAAGCTATGCCAATAATTATACATATGTAATTTTTAACAGATAATAACAAGTTAAAAAGCAGTAAGTTCGGCCGGGCCGAACTTTTAATACCCTCCACCATTTGCAACGAATTTGGAAATTTTCAAAAAATAAAATCCTTAAAAAATTCTGATAAAATTTTAAAAATACCGAATATAGCCGTTGTTTTGAGGTCTATACGACGTGGACATACATAGGCATTGTTTGTCATAAGCCATTACCATATTCAAATTCGAAACTTGAAATAAACGGTGAATAATGTAGCTAAAATCATCAAAATACCGAATATAGGGAGGTACCGTTATATGGGGGCTATACGAAGACCTAGACCCGCACAGACAATTTTCTGCCACAGACGGTAGTTCCCATAACGAACTTCAAATACCAATTTTAAAATAATTCCGGTGAATAATGTCGCTAAAATCATCAAAATACCGAATATAGGGAGGTACCGTTATATGGGGGCTATATGAAGACGTGGACCTGCACAGATAATTTTCTGTCTTAGGGTGTAGTATCCATTTTGAACTTCAAATACCAAATTTGAAACAATTCCCGTGAATAATGTCGTTAAAATCATCAAAATACCGAATATCGGGAGGTACCGTTTTATGGGGGCTATACCAAGACGTGGACCTGCACGGATAATTTTCCGTCTTAGGGTGTAGTATCCATTTTGAACTTCAAATACCAAATTTGAAACAATTCCCGTGATTAATGTCGCTAAAATCATCAAAATACCGAATATAGGGAGGTACCGTTATATGGGGGCTATATGAAAACGTGGACCTTCATGGCCCATTTACGAACTTAACCTGCCTACTGGAAAAATAAACATGTGTGCAAAATTTTAGCCACCTATCTCAATTCATTCGAAAGATAGCGTGATTACAACAGACAGACAGACGGACAGACAGACAGACAGACGGACAGACAGACAGACGGACATCGCTAAATCGACTTAGAATTTTACGCTGATCAAGAATATATATACTTTGTTGGGTATGATATGAGTATTTCGAGGAGTTACAAACGGAATGACAAAGTTAATATACCCTCCATAGTATGGTGGAGGGTATAAAAATTAGTGATATTTATACAACATTTACCAAAATTAGTATGAATTTTTTCTCCATTCCATAATACCTAACAAACATCAATAATTGCTTAGTCACACGTAAGTGAAGTAGGTGTGTTTTACATTAAAAAAATCTTTTGTCTCAAAAGATAAAGCTCATGTGTGGGGGTGGCTAATCACCTGATTTATACTTAAAGGCAAATAATCAGACACTGATTAGTACTGGACAGATAAGTTAAATTGAAATTACATGCGTTTGTAGACAAAAGAATATCACCACATATAAATATATTAAAAATATAGCGACAAAAACAACAATAAAAATATTTTAAAAAATAGTTTGTTAATCTCAACTATCTACTTTCTCGAGTAATTAATCGGAATAATGGCTACTACACTTGTTTCGATACCACTGGCTAGGGAAAATCGAAAGACACATGTTTGGTCATAGAAATCCATTAGAGAACATTTTGCACGGATTTCAGATACAACCGGTACTTGAATGATAAGAAATTTTCACGCGATGTTAAGATAGACAATGGTGACGCCATTCGGGAATTAGATAGCGTTACATACCCCTTTTCGCTGTCCATGGTCGAAATGGTATAAAAGAGTAAGAATTTGCAGAAATCAGTTGTATTATTTCGTTTAGCCATGAAATACTTCGTTATTTTTGCTCTCTGCGTAGCTGCTGGTAAGACTTTCTTTTTGGTACGCATTTGGACTTGGCCGTTAAAATATTTGTCTGCAATTTTTCTACAGCTGCTGCTTCCGCCATTCCTGAAGAGGAACGCGTCAACGGTGAAAACGGTTGGTATGTTCCCCAGGCTGATGGCTCTTTTGAATGGGTCGATCTTGATGAAGCCGAAGACTACTTGAACCAAGCTGAACAATTGGAAGGCCGTTTGACCACCAATCCCGTTACCTTCTTGTTGTACACCAAATCCAACCCCAGCGATGGTGTTGAAATCACCACCACCACCAAATCCATCAACGCTTCTCCCTTCAATGCCAAGCACCCCACCAGAATCACCATCCACGGCTGGACTTCCAGCAAGGATGACTACGTCAACTATGGTATCCGTGGTGCTTTCTTGGGCAAGGGTGACTACAACATGATCACCGTTGATTGGGGTCGTGCTCGTTCCGTTGATTATGCCTCCTCCGTTTTGGCTGTTCCCGGTGTTGGCCAGAAGGTCGCCAAATTGGTTGATTTCTTGGTTAAGAACTACGGCATGAAATTGGCTGATTTGGAAATCATTGGTCACAGCTTGGGTGCCCATGTTGCTGGTTTCACCGGTAAGAACATCGCCAGTGGTCAAGCTCACACCATCATCGGTTTGGACCCTGCCCTCCCCTTGTACAGCTACGATAAGCCCGACAAGCGTTTGTCCAGCACTGATGCTTACTATGTTGAATCTATCCAAACTGACGGTGGTAAATTGGGCTTCTTGAAACCCATCGGTAAGGGTGCTTTCTACCCCAACGGCGGCAAATCTCAACCTGGTTGCGGTGTTGATGTTACCGGTAGCTGCGCTCACAGCCGTTCCGTTATCTACTACGTTGAAGCTGTCCAAAAGGACGATTTCGCCACCATGAAGTGCCAGAACTACGAAGATGCCGTCGCCAAGAGCTGTGGCTCTACCTATAGCTCCGTTCGCATGGGTGCTGATACCAACGCTTACATGGTTGCCGGTGATTTCTATGTTCCCGTCAACAAGGAAGCTCCCTACGGTAAATTGGCTTAAATTTGCTTTAGCATAAGTAGCAGAATTTTGAAATTAAATACAATTTGAAAATATATAAATTTGCTTTTTTTATGAAAATATTTCTCAATAAAAAATGGGAAAACTTGACGTAATATTAAAGTAAAAGTATAAGGAAAATGACAAAATTAAAAAAACATATGATTGTTATTGAATGAGTTTAATGGCATCTAAGTGGCATATATTTCAAACTAATATATAGGAGATGTTTCTCAATCTGAATCGATTTAACAAATATGCTAAGGATGCATATTATGGTACGTACTAATAGGAAATAAAATAGTTCACACAAGAAACCTCTATTCCTTTGTAAATATTGTAAACATAGTTTTGTGCATGTGCATTTCCACACGTATGTAATCTTTTTGCTTCTTTCGCTAATATCCATGCCCAACTTGCTCTCTGCCTGAAAGCATGCTTTTACATAAAGTCATACAACAGATTGTTTTCCGGATTTTAATGCAAAACTCTAAACGAAAACAATCACTTCCTATATACATTTGGAGCTTTTGTGGTATACATGAAACCTTCACGGACGGCAGGCATGATGAAAGTAGAAAACTTGTTAAAACTTTGACCATAGGATTGCATACAGGAGCCAAACACCGCCACCATCACCAGCGAATACTGGTATCCTCAACATAATTAAACGTATTAACTGAGATTTTATATTTAATTACCTTTAATTCCTGGTACTTTTGGCTTCCGTTGTTGGCGAGTGTTGTATTTTATTTTGTTTTCAAACAAAATACCCATGTGTGCCGTCATAAAATAAGAATAATATCCCAAGGATCCTTTTAATTAGATTCTATGGCAGTTATTTTACAAACACATGGCCATTTCGACGTTTATATGGCTTCATTTATGCACTGCACATCATCAACGTGAGTAAATAAGTAAGCTGTGGATTTGTAGGGGCTATCATTACAAACTCCATAATAATATAGGCTAGAATCAAAGTAAATATTAAATAAATTATTTCTTGCATTGGACTAACTTTTTTAATAATGTTTCCAGTACTTAACATGAGATTATTGAAATGACCAATGACCAATTAAAGCAAGAGGACTATAAATATGTTTTGTTGCTTATATACCGTAATAAACAAATATCCGCTTACATTATTGACGTAATGGAAAATCAAATTCGAAATTAAAAGTGATTCTAATAACTTATTGAATGCTTAAAAATTATTCCAGATTTCGGCAAATTATATAATAATTATAGAATGAATGTTTATTGTCCATTAAACTGGATCATAACAAGCTAAACTATTCTACACAATTTTCTATCACTAATTTGTACCATAGGTCTTAGAAAACACCATAAATCCATATCTTACCTTACGTCAGGAATTTATAAATATTAAACACATATTCGGGTTTAAGACGTAATTTATATAAATTAATTTGAAATTCACAAAAAACGCCATATTAGAAGAACGACGTCAAATATAACAAGTAAAAAAACATTTAGTTAGGCAGGGCCGAACTTTTAATACCCTCCACCTTAGGGTAAGAAAATATTTGACCCACAAATACCAATTTTTAGACATATTTTGGGAAAATGTGGCAAAAATCATAAAAAAAATCGGGAGGTACCGCTATATGGGGCTATACATACAATGTTTCGCTAACGGAGCTATATAACCCATTAGACCCACAAATACCAACTTTTAGACAAATGCGTGAAAAAATGTGGGAAAAATCATGAAAATACCGAATATCGGGAGTTACCATTATATGGGTGATATACCAAAACATTGACCTATACATATAATATTTCGCCACCTGAGCTAGAATCCATTATGACTAACAAATACCAATTTTTAGACAAATCCGTGGAAAAAGTAACAAAAACCATCAAAATAACGGTACCGTTATATGGAAGCGTTACCAAAATGTGAACATATACATACAATGTTTCGCCACCGCAACCAGAACCCATTATGACCAACAAATACCAATTTTTAGACAAATCTGTGAAAAAATGTGGCAAAAATCATCAAATTACCGAATATCCGGAGGTACCGTTATGTGGGGACTATACAAAAGCGTGGACCTATATATACAATGTTTCGTCACACAAACTAGGACCCATTATGACCTACAAATACCAATTTTCAGACAAATCCGTGAAAAAATGTGGCGAAAATCATCAAAATACCGAATTTGAAAATTACCAAAATACCGAAATTGAAAATTACCAAAATATAAAATTTTCAATATCACCGTCCTAAACACAATAAAAATCGTTCTGCTAAATTTTGACGCTCTACGTCAAATAACGTGGGCTGTATCGTGATATCAATAGACAGACAGACAGATAGACAGACGGACATCGTAAAATCGACGTAGAATTTTATGGTAGTTACGAATACATATACTTTATGCGGTCTACGACGAATATTTACGGATGTTACAAACGGAATGACAAAGTTAATTTCTCGTTCTGGTATATAAATTATGTTGCGCCAAGTTTGAAGAAATTTTGTGTTCTATGAACGTCGTGGTTTTTCAATATTTTAACCCGTTCTAGAAAAAGTACCAAAAGGCGTCATCTGTTCCATCTGGAAATTAGAAGACAATAGAATCTTGTTTCACAATTTATACCCTATGTGGGTATAGGAGTGGGCCGATTGTCAATTTGCATATCTGACTTAGCACCAATGCAAATATTAGGATTTGTAAAGTTTGGACAATGCCGAATGATCCTCTCTCTTTTTACGAGGTAAATTGTACTTTTGTTGGAAAGATACCAGAAAGAGTGGACCCATATTGCCCATATCCGAACCCGGTCTAAGTTGTAAAATATACCAAGTTGGGACGAAATCAGATACTCCCTTCGAGAGTTATGATGGGACCTAGGGCCCAAAGTCGATGTTTCGATGAGACACGTTTTGACCGTTTCAGGTGATGTACACCCTATAACATTGATAGAATGTAATGAAAACTAAAAAAAAACGTCTTTAAGTTTCAGTAAAAAAAGGTTAAAGTGGGAGACCCTGCACAACTATGAATATTTGGTAGAGTTAGCCGTTACAAATAACTTTTTATATTGGGAATTTATTTATATAATTTTATCTTAACCTATTATCAGAAAATTTTCCACGCTTGCTTCTGGGCTAAATTCGGTATGAATAAAATTAGCTCTGTTGATTTTTTATGCAGCAACCGATTTGAGATTTATACCACCAGAAAGTCGTAATACGTTTCAAATATCAATGATATTTCGAACGAGACACCATATTAATCCTCTAAATACTTCTGCAAAATGTAATCAAAGTTGTTTAATATTCGTTATTCCCTTTTTGGTAGGGTAACGACTAGTCTGAAGATGAATGTCTATAATTCTTAACTTATATTTGTGCAAACTGATATGATTGATGATAAATGTAATTTTTATATATTTTAACGTGAAATTCATTTCATCTCGGTCGTTAACTACTGAAAACGCTTATAAAAGCTTTATAAATGTAAATCCTGAAGTTATATCCTAACTTATTTATCCTCACATTAGGCGAATTAAAAGGCATTGGTCAAAGTATGCTACAATAATTTTATCAACTTTAATTATATTAAAACAAATTATTATTTAATCCGAGTATATTTCGCACATAAAAAAAATTTCATGTTCGTTTAAAAGTTTAGTTAATCCCACATTAGACTGTAAAATAGCAGTTCACATTAAATTTTCCTAGCAGTGACACCGGCAGTCATAAATATTATTCGTCTGTCGACAACGTAAGTTTTTGGCCCATATCTTGCCTAACAGTGCTGTTTTTATTGCCAACAATTGTTCACTTGTTTGTATGCGCCTAAATGTATGCAAATATTTGATGATAGTTTTTCTTAACGCATATACATTAGTGAGGTGACCAGCACAATTTTTTTTTGAATTCGAACGCGTTGAAAATGTGATTCTAAATCTACTGCGGGGTTTAAATATTATTGTTATGGCTTTTAAATGTTATTTAAAAATGTGTACATTCTTTACTTTTCAACATTTTGCACTTACCCTTATCCAGAGATGGTCACTCAAATTTACTCTGTTACTGTGTAAATGACAAATGTTAGCGAAATGGTGTTGACGAACATTTGAAGCTCCCTTTGAGAAATGAGAAATGTGTGTGGGTCTGAAAGCAAAGTAAAAACAAAAGGAAACTTTTTTAAATGGCCGACAAATACATTTGATAAATGAATTACCACCAACGCCAACTGGCATTGACATTTGTGGCCATGGTAACCAGCCAAAACCATCTACAGGTATTTGGCCATGTGCCATGCAGCCATCAACACTGGCCATTCTCACTCCTAGTCATTTCCAGTTTTCATTAAAATGTCCCGAGAATAAAGTACTCAGAGATTAGCGAGGGGCTTAACGAATCATTTTGAATTGCCGTTCACGATTTATGAATAAATTTAGAAACGAGATTCTATTTGGAACCCATTTTTTAGCGTGAATTTTAAGTGCATTTTTCCAAACGATAATTTTTTATTGAGCAAAATCCTTTTAATCTTTGATGTTTCCAATGTTAATTATTAACTATTTTTGCACGAATTTTCACCATGAAAAATGTGTCGCAAGTTAAATACGTTTGAGAATATCTAACAAAAAGTTGATAAACAAATACAAAGATGGATTTGAAATATATAATAAACATGGAAAATACTTTTAATTTATTCAGATTCCAAAAAAGGTTCATTGACTTACATTGACTTGAAACATTACATGAGAAGACAGTTAATATTGTCCCAAAAGTTTACAAAACCCATGAATATTGACCCCAGGTAATAATAATTGGTTTAAAAGTTTGTATTAGGGATTTAAGCCATAGCTGAACATAAGCATTGCAAGAAAAAGGGCAGACTACTTTCATGACAAAAAAATATAAAATTTATATTTTTTATTTTCACACTTATTTAAATTAATATAAGGAGTGTTCTGAGAATGAAATAAGGGGTTAGTTTTGAGTCGCATCTCAACGTCAAAAACTGATTACAGGAAAAAAATAAAAACAAGTTAAAAAGTGTCAGTCGGTTTTGCCCGCAGATGTATACCATCAGCCAATGTCTGTTTGTTTACATATAAATTAACTTGCAAAATAGTTGCTCAAGCTTTCGACCCTTTGTAGGGAAGATTCCAAAAGGGTTGGCCAATATTATCCATTTCGTGTCTTATCTAAGTCTGATATAAATATTACAAGGTGCCACATTTGGCCTATATTGGATAGTTCCTGCATTTTATATGAAACTACCAAATATCTGCTACTTAATACGCGGAAAAATGCATTTATGTTAAGTGAATTTATATGTAATCCTAAAAAATTATCTCACCCAACCCACCAACATCGACCCACATGCAAAATTTCAAGATTTTAAATCCAGCCGCTTCGCCCTGGCGTTGATGAATCAGATATCTAACACTAAATGAAGTACCACTTGGTACTATTCGTCCACGTAAAAATTCACTTCCAAAACCACTTTATATCTCAACAGTGCACACCAATTCTAACACCAATACCAAAATTCGGATATTTAATTTATTACCTTCTGTACTGTTGTTGTACTTATTACAAAAAAATAATTCCAAATTTCAGGACTTCAGCTAAACTCTAATTTGTACAAAATTTAATACCATTTAGTGCACATTGGTACAAATTTTTAAAGCTATCTACATACCCCAATCGTACACTCCCACAGTAACCCCAATTCCAAATTTCAAGATTCCAAAGTTCAGAATTCCAGCTCTATCGGTTCGCACAAATCCAAATTGTAGCAAATTTATAACATCTAAATACGAATTTCCAAACTTCCTACAAACCTCGATTCTACACTCAAAGTTTCCAAAACTAAGTCCATACCCAAATCATACAATCCCATAGAAATGTTATTTCCAAATTTTAGAATTTTAGTTCTATCGATTCACAGTAATTTCAATTTGTACACATTTTAGTATCATTTAGAATTCCATAACACCATGCACCATGCAATCAAATAGAAATCGTATTTCCCAATATCAGGATTCCAGCCCTATGGATTCATCCTAATTCTAATTGTTCCAAATTTAGTACCATATATCACAGATGAGTACGAATTTCCAAAACTTCCTACATAACCCAATCCTACTCCCCGACAGTATCTTAATTCGAAATTTGAAGATACCAGTTCTATTAGTTCATCCAAATACAAACTGTACCAAATTTAGTACCAAATAGTACACATCAGTACGAATTTCCAAACAATGCAATGGCAATCTTATTTCCAAATTTCAGGATTCCAACTCTATTGGTTCTCCCAAAATTTAAATTGTACCAAAATTAGTACTATTTAGTACACATATCTACGAATTTCCTCAGTCCTAAAATGCAACAGTAATCTTATTTCTAAATTTCAGAATTCCACCTCTATTGGTAGTCCCAAAATTTAAATTGTACCAAATTTAGTACCATTTAGTACTTTTCGTGCACATAAGTGCACAGTAATGTAATGATAATTTCAAATTTCAGTTTCCGTCCCCATAAATTCAAGTTGAACTGAATGTATTGCCGTTTAGTACTTTTCGTATGCATGAGCACACACTTCCGAAATTACCTCTTTACATCGACTCTACTTTTCAACCTTGATACCTTGATTCCATTTAGTATCATTTAGTACTTTTCGTGCACATAAGTGCACTCTTCGAAAACTTACTCCATATTCCAATCCTACACTCCGCCAGTAATGATAATTTCAAATTTCAGTTTCCGTCCCCATAAATTCAAGTTGAACTGAATGTATTGCCGTTTAGTACTTTTCGTATGCATGAGCACACACTTCCGAAATTACCTCTTTACATCGACTCTACTTTTCAACCTTGATACCTTGATCTAACCGTTAACATAATATGAAATAGTACGAAATGTAGTATATTTTAATATTTTTCGTACACTTATTTTGCGAATTTCCAAAATCACTTCGGCACATCTATCATACACTCTATCAGCGACCTCATTCCAAATTTATGAGTTCTGCCTCTTCCTAAAATACAAAGGGTACCATAATTAGTACATTTTATTATCTGATTCCTTCAAGATTCTAGCTTCAACCGTTTCGTCTGGGTGTTGATGAATCGTATAGACAGTCAATTACTTTACTCTCTTCTTCTTCTTCTATCTTCTTCTTCTTCTATATCTATAAAAGAGGAAAATGTTTGTATGTTTGTTTGTTTGTTTGTTTGTTTGTTTGTAATTTATGGACTCGAAAACCGCTGAATAGATTTTCCTGAAAATTTCCATATTTACTGCAACATCGCCTGAAAGTAACATAGGCTATATACATTTTTGAATTTCCACTTGGAACTGGAGATATAGCATCAGAATCGGAGGTACCTCCCAAAAATTTAGATTTTATATGCACATATCTATTGATTGGTTGAAGATACAGTCTCCAAATTTGGAATACGTAACGGAATTTGGAACAAAAATAAGTTTGCCAAATTATATTGTAATCGGTTCAGATTTGGATATAGCTCCCATATATATTTTCGGCCGATTTCAAGCATTTGATGCACCAAACACGCTATGTATCCCCAATTTCAATGAAATTTGAAACGTGTGATAGATTTTATCTAAAAAATTGATTTCCCAAATTATATTGAAATCGGTTCAGATTTGGATATAGCTACCATATACATTTTCGGCCGATTTCATGTATTTGGTGGACCAAACACGACATGTATTTCCAATTGTAATGAAATTTAAAATAAGTAACGGAATTGGGAGCCAAAATGAATTTGTCAAATTAAATTGAAATCGGTTCAGATTTGGATATAGCTCCCATATATATTTTCGACCGATTTCATGTATTTGATGCACCAAACACGCTATGTATCTCTAATTTCAATGAAATTTGGAATGTGTAGCGGAAATTAAAACAAATATACATTTGTCAAATTATATTAAAATCGGTTCAGATTTGGATATAGCTCTCATATATATTTTCGACCGATTTCATGTATTTTATGCACCATACACGATATGTATGTTCGATTCCAAAGAAATTTGGAATATGTAACGGGATTTTGATTAGAAAATAAATTAGTCAAATTATATTAAAATCGGTTCAGATTTGCATATAGCTCCAATATATATTTTCCCCCGATTTCACATATTTGATGCACAAAACACGATACGTATTTCCGATTCCAACGAAATTCGGCATGAGTGGCTAAATTTGGTACAAAAATAAATTTGACAAATTATATTCAAATACGCTCAGATGTGATTATAGCTCCCATATATACTCAGCAGATTTCACATATTTGATGCACCCAAAGCGAGAGAGACAAAATCTGGCACCAGCAAAAATTGCCAAATTATATTGAAATCAGTTGAGGTTTGGATATAGCTAACATATATAATTCGGCCGAAAAAATACGATATATATGACCGATTCCAATGAAATTCAGAATGTTTGGCGGAATTTGGTTACAATAATAAATGTGACAAATTAATTGGAAATTAGTTAAGATTTGGATATAGCTCCCATATATATATTCTCGGCCGATTTCACATATTTGACGCACCAATTTCAATTAAATATGAAAGGTGTGGCGGAGTTTGGTGTAAAAGTAATTTTTTTAAAATTATATTTAAATCGGATCAGATTGGGATATGATTTTAATAAGAACCATTGACCCACAACGCCTTAGGCTAACACTAAAAAACAACACAACAATTTATTTAAAATACGCTTATTACGGCGAAGTATGTTGCTATCTCGAATTCACTAACTGCAATAGAAATGCCACTCTACTTAAAAAAATTGCAGTTTCCTGCACGCTTGGTATTTGCTATGAAATAAATAAATCCAAAGGACAAACCCTTCGTGTATGCATGTCATGTTACTGCTTTTATAATGATTTTGTTTATTAACGCATTAAATTAGTGCAATATTTTTTTTTTAATTTTTAAATTTGTTTTTCTTTATCTCTATATCTATAAAAGAGGAAAATGTTTGTATGTTTGTTTGTTTGTTTGTTTGTTTGTTTGTAATTTATGGACTCGAAAACCGCTGAATAGATTTTCCTGAAAATTTCCATATATACTGCAACATCGCCTGAAAGTAACATAGGCTATATACATTTTTGAATTTC